GTGTGTTGAAAGGAAAGTGCATCCAATCATTCAACAGCTTTTAGAATCTTTAGCAGTCACAACTCTTATTTTCAAGAAATTTTTAACCCAGATTTTATTAAATATTTCTGCGGTTTATTAAGGTTCACAGACATTTATCTCTGCTCTGCTCCCATAAGATCCCATAACAGCATTTCAATTAGGCTGAAGTCTGGGCTTCAACTGGTCCATTGCAGTCTCATAATTCTTCTCTTTTCCATCCGTTCATGTTATGTTGGTGAACTGGTAAACCTTGAATTTGACAATAAAAAAAAAGGCCTAGTGTAGAGTTTATGGCTGGTTCAGTCTAGGGTGCATTGGTCCTGTAGATGTAAAAACCAGCCCATATCAACACCCCTCCACCTCCATGCTTATCACTTGGACTGAGGGGCTTGTGCTCTCCCAAGATTTGATCAAACATGGAGCTGTACATGAGCCAAACATCTCTACCTTATTCTAAAATAAAGAATTGTTTTTCTTTTTACTGGGAGATAATTACTTTTTTCAATTAGAGGATTTGTCAAAATTTACCCAAAATAATTAGAAATATTTAAAGAATTTGTATGATTGTCTTTATGTGTATGTAGAATTAATATGATTTTAATCTTTATGCATGCTAATGTTTACTGCAACTTTACTGCTAAGCTGATGATGCTCAGCTGATCTGGAACAGTTCAGTGGGGCAGAGTCAATCTGAAACGCCTCAGCAATCAACAGGGTAGATGTTTTTTTTTGTTTTTTTCAAAATGAAGCGTTGGGTTTAAATATTGTTCTTAATAATTTACAAAGTCAAGCACATGCATCAGGGCTTATTCTAACCTGTAACCTTTGGCTCATATTTCACATTTCTATTTGAGTTTCTGAATAGTTGTGGTTATTGAGTATAAAGAGGAGAACTGAAGAAAATTAAAGCAATGAACTGGTTTCTGCATCAATATATGAACCACAATTTTTTCTTTCTTTAAGGGGAAATAAAAGGAAATCATCAATTCTGTCATACATTGTTCTATCTTGAAAAACCTTTAAAAAAAAATCAAACTTACCCCTGAACCACAGAAGCGCCCCAACCGGTGTGAATTGGAATCAAATCCGTTGTACAGCTCAATGTAATCATAACCGCAGTCAGCTTCCTCCTCCACCTCAAAAGTTATAAAGCTGAGCTCGATGCCATAACCCTGTTCGGTGGTCAGCAGCCACTCGCAGTCTGTGTGACCTGGGTAATTGTTGTCTCCAAACTGGGAGTGGGAGTAAAGGTTTTTCTGACGAGCTTCTGCCTTCAGACGACCTCCGCACTCTAAAACACCAGCAAAAAAATGGAATCAAGACAATCTGGATAAGATTTAAGATTTAAGTAGTTAATTAGGATCTTATGAGGGGATCTAATTTTTAATACTGCTTCATTCTTGCACCTGCTTCAATGAACCACTAGAGGGAGATATTACTTCTTAGAGCATACAGTTAATCTGTTACTGTAACTGATGCTCTTCACAAACTCACACAGTGCTTCTCATTGAAGTGTATTTATGTGTATTTATACTGAGATATATTTGTACCTGTGGAATGTGTGGCTTGAAATCCCTTCCGTTGCACCGAGGCATCGGATATGAAGCGCAAGTACATCTTGTTCCCAGTGGAGACCAGGGGCTCAGGGATCTTGTTGCCACACAGACGTCCCAGGATGGCTGCTGCATCACTCTCCCCATCAAAGGCCTCTAGGTGGTCATAAGCACATTCTTGATGCTGCTCAATCTCAAATTCGCTGAAGGCCTGGAGAAAATCAGTGGATAAAGGTTAGTGAAAGAAAGATCACAACAATTCTTTTAAAAGAAAAATAATTCTTTAAAAAACATAGTTCATAAATTGACAACATTTTAAGCCGCATACAAATAAACATAATGAACAGGTTATTACTCAGAACTCAGAAGTAGTGTGAATGATTCCAGAATGAATTAATCATGTTGTGGAAAACTGATGTCTTTTTTTGTGTCTTTCTTCTGCACACATTTATTTTGTAATTATGCTTTTGCATTTCTGTGTTTTCTTATTTATTATTTAAAGTACAAAAAAACCTGCAGGTCATTTTATATTTTGCAGGTATGATTGGGACACTTCTAATCAAATCTGATTAAAGAATACTACTGCAGTACTTCTAGCAAATACTTTTCGGTCTTCCTCAGTATACTTTTACTTAAATAGTAAACTGCTCAAGTAAAAGTATACTGAGGTAGTGCTATTTATACCTGAGAATTTTTTTTTTTAGCAAAACTACGCTCCTATGATTATTGCTCTATTTATGCCTAAAGCAAAAAAATCACAACATTAACTTAAACAAAAGTTTTTAAGGGCTATGGAACAAGAGTGCTTTAATAAGGATTGAATTACATTTTCTTCACTGTGCATGGTGATTTATTTTCTAGCGTGAAAACTAGAAGTTCATCTTAATGCACCCCATGGGAAATAACCTATGGGTCTCAAAACAGGGATGTTGGCTTGAAATTTCAGCTCTAGTTCAGCTCATAAAGGATTAATTTACCTTAGTGCTAAATGCAAGTCAGTTCCAGTTAAATGAACTATAAAATTATTCTGTTACAAACCCAGAGGACTCTGACCAAAAAAAAGTTAGTTTTCAAGAAGATGGGGTTTGCAAAACTGTCTATTTAAACTCAGACTCAATATCATTGGCATTATTATTATCATTAGCCCAAATTAGCTACTTAATTGGATATAATTCACTATATTTAAAGATTAATCACTTTAGATCAGCACAAGAAAAAAACTTTGTAAAATGTATAAAACTTTATGTCGATAATATAAATAACTATTGAACATGCCAGACTCTAATTACAAAGGAGCTAAATTAACACATTTAATTAAACTCAATTCATTTGATTTATATA